TTTATCTCATAATGTAGAAAATATTGTCGTTCACCTTGGTTTAAAATTGTTAATAAATTTTTTTCTGTGGTAGAAATTCACAAATGAAAGTAATCAGTTTTCAAATTTATTAATATGTATTAACATTAATTAATACTTAATCAGACAAAGCTTTTATAATAATTACTATTTGTGCACGGCCATCTATATGCATACGCCTACTTTACAGTCCCATAACTATGAAAACCAAATTTGTAATTTTTGTACATATTTAAACACAAAATTTTTCTATTTTAAACTGTTTTGAAGACGCTCACGCTTTATGTACAAGGGTAAGCGTTTATATCAATACAATGAAGAGGACTTTCGATTTCAATCTTGATTTATATCAAGCGGTTAAACAGCATGGAGACACATTATCATAGATGTCAAGAGAAGCTGTCAATTAAAAAAGCTTCTCTTTGATTACTTGTAAACTTGTAATTCGAAAAAAGCTTGTTAACAACTAAAACTTTAGTAAAAAGTCGTCTTCTCTGTATTGATATAATCGCCTACCACTGTAGATATATTTTTGTCATTGTTATCGCCAACTCTTATAAAGAAAGTGGATCTACATAATGCATGAAGTATTGTTATTAACTGGCGGGGAAAGTTTGGGTTTCTATAAATTATTATATTTTCATCAAAACCGCGGGGAACAACATAGTTCGAGGCCTTAACGGAATTAGTTTGTTATTTAAGCATTAAAGGGGCTATACACATAATTTTAAGTGATCTTCCATTATATGTACAAAAACATGGCCTTACAACTAACTTAATAATATATTGCTTTGCAACCAACTAGACCAAAATACTGCTTTGAAACCACCTAGATCAATATACTGCCTTACAAGTAACAAAATAATATATTGCTTTTCAACCAACTAGACCAAGATACTGCTTCGCAACCAACTAGGCCGAAATACTGCTTTGCAACCAACTAGACCAAGATACTGCCTTACAAATAACAATATAATATATTGCTTTGCAACCAACCAGAACAAGATACTGCTTTGTAACTAACTAGAAAAGGATCCTGCTTTGCAACCAACTAGACCAAGATCCTGCTTTGCAACCAACTAGACCAAGCTACTGCTTTGCAACCCACTAGAACTATATTGCTTTGCAACCAACCAGAACAAGATACTGCTTTGTAACCAACTAGAAAAGGATCCTGCTTTGCAACCAACTAGACCAAGATCCTGCTTTGCAACCAACTAGACCAAGCTACTGCTTTGCAACCCACTAGAACAAAATACGGCTTTGCAACCAACTAGAACAAGATACTGCTTTGCAACCAACAAGAACAAAATACTGCTTTCCAACCAACAAAAACAAGATACTGCTTTGCAACCAATTAGAACAAGATCCAGCTTCCAACTAGAACAAGATTCAGCTTTGCAACCAACTAGAACAAGATCCAATTTGCAATCAACTAGAACAAGATCCTGCTTTGCAACCAACTAGACCAAGCTACTGCTTTGCAACCCACTAGAACAAAATACAGCTTTGCAACCAACTAGAACAAGATCTTGCTTTACAACCAACTGAACCAAGATCCTGCTTTGCAACCAACTAGACCAAGATACTGCTTAGCAACTAACAAAAACAAGATACTGCTTTGCAACCAATTAGAACAAGATCCAGCTTTGCAACCAACTAGAACAAGATACTGTTTTGCAACCAACTAGAGCAAGATACTGCTTTGCAACCACCAAGAAGAAGATACTGCTTTGTAACCAACTAGAACAAGATACTGCTTTTTAACCAACTAGAACAAGGTACTGATTTGTAACCAACTAGAACAAGGTACTACTTTGCAACCAACTAGAACAAGGTACTGCGTTTTAAACAACTAGACCAAGATAATGCTTTGCAACCAACTAGAACAAGATACTGCTTTTTTAACCAACTAGAACAAGATACTGATTTGGAACCAACTAGACCAAGATACTGCTTTGCAACCAACTAAACCAAGATACAGCTTTGCAACCAACTAGAACAAGATACTGCTTTGTAACAAACTAAAACAAGATACTGCTTTTTAACCAACTAGAACAAGATACTGATTTGTAACCAACTAGAACAAGGTACTACTTTGCAACCAACTAGAACAAGGTACTGCGTTTTAACCAACTAGACCAAGATAATGCTTTGCAACCAACTAGAACAAGATACTGCTTTTTAACCAACTAGAACAAAATACTGATTTGGAACCAACTAGAACAAGGTACTACTTTGCAACCAACTAGAACAAGGTACTGCGTTTTAACCAACTAGACCAAGATAATGCTTTGCAACCAACTAGAACAAGATACTGCTTTTTAACCAACTAGAACAAAATACTGATTTGGAACCAACTAAAACAAGGTACTACTTTGCAACCAACTAGACCAAGATACTGCTTTGCAACCAACTAGACCAAGATACAGCTTTGCAACCAACTAGAACAAGATACTGCTTTGTAACCAACTAAAACAAGATACTGCTTTGTAACCATCTAAAACAAGATACTACTTTGCAACAAACTAGAACAAGATACTATTTTGCAATCAAGTAGAACAAGGTACTGCTTTGCTAACAACAAGAACAAGATTCTGCTTTACAACCAACCAGAACAAGATACTGCTTTGCAACCAAACAAACATAATACCACATTGCAGCCTAGAAGAACAAGGCATAACTTTGCAACCAACTAAACAAGATACTATTTTGCTAACAACTAGATCAAGGTACTGCTTTGCAACCAGTTTGAACAAAATACTACTTTGACGCAATCAAAAACAAGATGAAGATTTGCAACATGAACAAGAAAGTATTCTATACAACCTGATTTAGAAGGTATTGGTAAAAAAGTTAATTTGAAAGTCTAACCAAATAAATTTGATTGAGCTAAAAATCAAAGCTTGGGGAGAAACGAGGTTACAACGCCGTTCGAGTGGTGTTTCCAAAAAAATTAACGTTATTTTAATTCTAATTTTTTACTTCCGTTTTAATGCATTCTAATTTTTTACTTTCTTTTTTACTCCATTCTTTTTTTTTAATTTCTTTTTACACATTCTAATTTTTTACTTTTTTTACTGAATTCTAATCATATACTTTCATTTTTACTGCATTCTAATTTTTTACTTTCTCTTTACTGCATTCTAATTTTTTACTTTCTTCTTTAATGCATTCTAATTTTTTACTTTCTTTTTAATGCATTCTAATTTTTTACTTTCTTTTTTACTGCATTCTTATTTTTTACTTTCTTTTTACTACATCATAATTTTTTACTTTTTTTTACTGCATTCTAATCATTTACTTTCTTTTTTACTGCATTCTAATTTTTTACTTTCTACTTTAATGCATTCTAATTTTTTACTTTCTTTTTTACTGCATTCTTATTTTTTACTTTCTTTTTACTACATTCTAATTTTTTACTTTTTTTACTGCATTCTAATCATTTACTTTCTTTTTTACTGCATTCTAATTTTTTACTTTCTCTTTACTGCATTCTAATTTTTTACTTTCTTCTTTAATGCATTCTAATTTTTTACTTTCTTTTTACTGCATTCTAATTTTTTACTTTCTTTTTACTGCAGTTTAATTTTTTTACTTTTCCTCCTTCATCTCTTACTAAACTACAAACATTAACACTTCAGCATATTATCCCTTCTTTTCATTCTTTATAACATTCAAATTTTTAACTTATACTCATTTTACCAGATTGCATAACCCCAAAGCATGATTTAAGCTTTTTTCCTGTCTTTCTTTTTATCTAAATTTCACACTTTGTTTTTCTTGAACCCTTTTAACATTATTCCAGTTTTTAAAATTTAGAAGAAAAATTCAATGTTTGAAAAATCACATCTACAGTCTTTAAAGCATGTCGATTTTCTTATTCATATTTTTATCCTAAATATGCAGAATTTCACTAAACCAAGTCATTTATTTGATGGGGAAGTTTAAATTATGTTTTTTATTCTTAAAATTCTTATTCTAAATCTTTTGTACTGTATATTTGTACGTCTGCACTTAATAAATCTGAGCTGAAAACTTTAGAATGGGATATCCTTAATCATGATCGGATAATTAATCTGGAGATTAAAAATGAGAGGAGAACAAGCAATATTTAATCTGGATATTAAGAAAAAGAGTGGATTAAGCATTAATCCCGATATCCATCATTCTTAAGTTTTCAGCTCAGGAGTGTATATTTGTTTTAAAAAATCATTCAACCCTAAACCCTTTTTGAAAAAAAATTTCTCCAAACGTTAGGTATGTTTAGGTTTTTTGGGAAAATGATTTATTTCTAGGGAGAAAATAAAAAATATTTTGGACAATAAGTATCAAAAAGGGGGATAAAAGGGTAATTCTTAAAAATATACACCCCTACAATATACACCCCTGCAATATACACCCCTGCAATATACACCCCTGCAATATACACCCCTGCAATATACACCCCTGCAATATACACCCCTGCAATATACACCCCTGCAATATACACCCCTACAATATACACCCCTGCAATATACACCCCTACAATATACACCCCTGCAATGAATTACAAATGTTTAAAATGATAACATTCACAATAGTTTTCACATGCCATAATTAGAGTTTACTCTATTCTCGTAAACACCAGCCTGCCGTCTACCTCCGTCTGTTTTAAACATAAGAGAACTTAAATTTTAAAGAAACTGTTTAAACCATTTAAATCTTTCTCTGATCAATAATGTGGTCATTTTAAGTGTTACATTTTGACGATTTCCTTCAATGTTTCTCCGAAAGAAGTTACTTTTGATTCTGATCAATCTTTAGAAAGAACAACGTGGATATCTCATTAATTCATGGTCAGACAAAGCTCTTAATAGTGCCAAAAGGGCCTCCTAATTGCAAATCTATAAGAATGAAAGAAACATTTACAATTTTAGAAGTATTTTCAAATTCTGAAAATATTGGACCAAATGTTTGAAATTAAGTCCTCCATTCTTTTCCTGCATGATAATCAGGTATATCCAGTCCTAACCGGTAATCCGGGGCAGATTCTTGTACACGCTGCTCTAGCAGAATACTTTCAACAACCTGGAAAAATAATAATAAAAAAATAAAAAAATATAATATATTAATAGAAAATTTTCTAAGGAACGCTCCGTCAAAATAATGTAAATTGATTTAGAACAAAAAAAGAATATCCCCAAAAGACGCATTTTTTTAACTGCAAAATTGAAGATTTCTTCCGAAAGCTGCAATAACTAATAAGGCTTTAAGTTTGATTTCAATAGAAGACCAGGAATTTACTTAAATCTTAAAATTAAAGATAGAAACCTTAATCTGATTAAAAACGTGCAAGATACCGTCTTCTTCCTGAATTGATAATTTCTATATTGCTTCTTATAAGCAAGAAAGCGCAAGTCACTTTTGCAGAAAACCCGCAAATGAAGAGAAACAGTTTTAAGAAACAAAAACATGATTCTAAGGGTCCGTTGTAAATTGGGCATTACTTTCTTTACATGAATTACGCTTACAGTCCCTTTAATTCTTATTTTTCAAGTAGACATTCCAAACAACTTGCCTTCGGGTCTCCTGGTCCCCATTTCTGAGATGGTTTGACAACACTCAATAGTTTTCTTCTACAACAGTAGGTTATCATCATCAAAACTGCCCAGATAACAACCTAACAAAAACTCTTTTTATTTTCAAATAATGTTTTTAAAATGAAAAAATTTAAAAGATTTTATACCTTTTTTAAAATAAATAAGATAACTCAATATTATTTGGAAAAAATAAAACGCTTCGGGCATTTAAATTGCATGAGGCAAACAATATTTTAAAAATTATTTGTCTTTTTTCTAATGAAACCAATTTTTGATTGTACACCCCTCGGGAACATCTTTAGGAGGTAAAATAGGATTAAAGGATTGAATGTATTCCTAATTGTAAAACTGGACTTTCATGTTTTTTCTAATGGCTATTTTAGCTTTTAACTTTTGCTTTGGAAGTCACCATTTATCTACGAATTACTAAAATTGGTGTATTTTTAAAATAATCATGTCTACACTTTTTTTAACCTATACTTTTGTAATTTGACCGTCATAACCCTTCACTTGGGCCCGATCGGTTGAATCATTCTGAAGTTTATTGGATACAACCAGACAGACAAACACTGCACCAAAACAAACCAAACTTATGTTACAATTTTCAAATATGTCAATAATAAAGTTTTCTGGAGATATTTCTGTTTTCTCTAAAATACAGAAATATTAAAAATATTTTAGTTTAAGTCTTTTAAAAGCAATGGAAATTATTTATCAGAAATTTATAACATGCTTTTTAACAATATGTGTATATTTGTAAAGAAATCTGAATAAAACTTGTAAAAAAATTATCAAAGAAACTTTCATTCTCTGGATAAACAGAGAGATTACTTTTTCAGGAGTTATTTCGCTTTCCTAATGTTAAACATAATTCCATAATACTACACAATAGAGAATTACACACAATAGAGAAGGACATATTTATACGACATTACTGGCGCGACTTTGTGACCTCGTAAGTCGTAGTTCATCTACCTCTGCTTTTACGCACAATTATAAGAAATGCAAATATTTTCGATAACATATTAGAAATAAAAAACATTGTTGCGTACGTTTATCATCTACAATTTGCATGTATAAAGTAGCAATCTCAGTTTGTTTGTCCGGATGTCCGATCATAACTCATAAACCCATGAACCGTTTTAACTTAAACTTGTATTTGGAAGCTTGAAAAAACGCTCTTTTGGCTTATTTTTATTGAAAACCTGCAGGCAAAGCTGGGTTTCCAATGTATACCTGACTAGTTGATATTCCTATAAGTATCCATCCAATAATATGAGCCCAGTCGGGGTATTTGACCTAGATAAAGGAAATAAATGAAATAAGGAATTCACTTTTTACCACAAATTTAAATTTTCTAATCCCAATATTATCGCAACCCAATATTGGAGACCTTTAATATTTGAATTCGTAGAAAAAGTTAATTATTTTCTTTTCTTTGGGATAAATGTTAAGAAATACAAAATCATGTAATCATCAGAGTTATCCTATCCCAGAGTCTAAACAGATGTATTTGTTACAGTTATTTCATAGGTATTGTTCTTTAAATAAAAAAATATGTTCTTAACCAAATCTGTTTATGTTTAGCATTGGTGCTTTTGCATCTACAGTCGATTCAATCTTAAAGAAAAATTTATTTGGAACTACGGCAGTTCAAAATAGGCCTCCGCCCCCCCCCCCCTTAAAAATGATAGTTTTGAATTTTTAACCACTCGCTTAATCTGAATATTCACTGTGCAAACTTTAAATTTTATTTTTAATCCGCTCTGGATGGGTTTCGCATTTACTACTACTACAATAAAGATACGTTGATTACAAACACGGAAACAATACTATATCGATAGAACTAATATCCGATAGGACTAAAGTCCGCTGTTCACAAGCCGTCTTTTAGAACATTTAAACTAATACAAATTTAATAATGTTAATCATAAACTTACTAAAAAACAAATTGTATCACGTTTAAGGACTATAGACCTTTTGAATGTTAATCTTAATAAACATTAACATAAAAATTACTTTCGTTCAGTCGATCATTAGTCCAGTTGATAAAAAACAAAAATGCGGGAAAAATGAAAACCGTTTTTTAAAAGTTAAAAAGCGCATCTCTAATCTAAAGAAATTAATTTAAAGACTATATTAGTCTTGAGATTAGCAAAAAGAGAGGATTAATCTTCATAACCACCATTCTAAAGTTTTCAGCTCTGTGATCTTTCGAGTTGGATATAAATGAGGTATATTTCTGAACAGAGATCTTTCGAGTTGGATATAAATGAGATATATTTCTGAGCTGGGGTCTTTCGAGTTGGATATAAATGAGATATAATTCTGAGCTGGGGTCTTTCGAGTTGGATATAAATGAGATATAATTCTGAGCTGGGGTCTTTCGAGTTGGATACCCGTAAGTCTAGATATCCAAGTGGACACTTCACGAATTTTACGCAGAATCTGCTTGCTCGCTGGATTTTGAAAATCCTCAATATCTCTGTTTGAAGTAAACGCCTACTCCATAACACTTTCTCGAACACGTATCTATCCAGGTACAGCTCAGATTCTCTTGACTATCAATGTCAAAACATGGCTACAACCCCGTAAACTATCAACGATCTCGTTAGATATCGATGTCAATACGGAAACTATTACTTAATTGATCAATGCCTCAACAAGGTGTCTAAATGACGATTTAATTTCCCCCATACGACACTCTTACAGGGTATCAAATACAAATTAAATCTATTAGTAGATTAACAAAAGATTGATATCAGGCATTGATCTCAATATCCGCAATACAAAATATGTTTATAAAATTAAATACCTGTTTGTTAAATACTGGAATCTCCCAGAAAAGAATGGATGTTATGAAAATTGTCAAAAGAACAAGCGGACATAATATAGCCCAACATATCTAAACAAACAAATGATTATCAGGGGCGTACTTAAGATGTTTGGCCAGGAGGGGGGTGAGCGTTTTTTTTACTCACCAAGTGGGAGCTCAGTCTCAATTGGAAGCTAAAATCCCCCCCCCCCCAAAACCATGCTCGCCATTTTTTCAGAGAAGGGGGGGGGATTTTAGCTTCCAATTGAGACTGAGCTCCCACTTGGTGAGTATGCATCCCTGATTTATTATGTAAATTCATAATTGTAAAAAACTCAAGAATATAAGTAACTGCATGGAAGAAAATCAAAAGTTAAAGCAAAAATAACAAGTATCTTGTTAAAACCTTGCTTGTAGGCTGTGAATCAACAAATCATATCTATATATTATTCATAAAATATTTGTTTAATTATTTGTTTGTTTGTTTGTTTACCTTCCAGAACCAGTTTGGTTGATAGTTGACCATCAGGGCGATATCCTACCATGTTGAATAAACAATTTTAAAAAATCCTGAATCAAAAGATATCTGTCAATCTATTTCGTTTTTAACATTTAATCTTCATTAGAAATTCAGTAAGATTAAAAAAATAAATTTTCAAAGTCAAGCCCCCTGCAGAATGGACAAACAATTAGGATTTTAAAGATCGATTTTGCGCTCTTCCTGAAAAATTATACACCGCATAGTCTTAAAGGTCTCAAAAGAATCTTTCAAAATTTCTCTACAATACTGCACTCTCAACTATCGTGTCTAAACGGTCACTCCCTGTAATATTGTTCATCGCTTTTGGAAGAACACAGATTAACCGAAGAATTATAATGAAAAGATAGTTATTTCAGAGGTTTTAAACATGTTCTTGTACTGCAGTGTACTGTCTCTGGGCTATAAAGTAAACAAAAGACGGATGTCACGGCCTGACATGGGATCTATCTTTCACATAAAAAATCAATTATTATTAATTATCTAAATTAAATGCTTTTATCCTCCTGGGATACTATAGGAACACTGATGTATCTATTATTGTTTACAAATATGTACGCAGAGAATACGCAAACGCAATTAACTTTCCTTGCCTTATTACCTTGAAATTAACGACGCTACTTTTTATTATGATACCTTATTAAAAATTTGGATAATCTTGCACTTACACTTATTATTTTCCCCACTCAAGTCGGTCCCTCCTAAATTAAACTTAAGCTTAATATACATTCAGTGAAAATAAACAGGAAATAAAAGACTATCAGAATGATAAAAAAAAACAATGAAATTAATCGTTAAAACATGATCACATTCCTCAGGACAATAAATCATTATAAAAAAGAAAAAAACGTTCAACTCTGTTTTTCTTTTAGAATTTACAATGTAGAGTTTTAGGAAGAAAAACATCTTTCAATTTGCAAAATTTGGTAAAATTATAAGTTTCAAACAAATACAAAATTTTCATTGAAGAATCTACAAAAATAGAAAAACAAGAAATTCTGTGAAGAAAATATTGAATAAAAGTGATAAATCACATTTTTGCAATCTTTTTCCAATTATATATTAAAAAATGAAAAACACAAAATATTACGATTAGATGATTTTCTTTATTAAATTTGTACGGAAAATTGTACGGAAAGTTCAACCAAAATTACTTTTTAAAACAAAATTAGAAATGATAAGAATAACAACGAACAACAAAAATTTGAGGATTTTTTATTTTAAATAGCTTATCTATATATATATACTTTGCTTGTCTGTCTGTCTGTTTGTTTGTTATGTGTCTGTCTGTCGTGAGCCTGAAAGGTCCTAATAGCCTAGTTTCTGTAAATTCATAATGAAAATATTCATAACATTGTAAAAGAAAAAAAGGGACTATTAACGAAATTGCAAGTGCCTCCCCCCCCCCCCATCTGCATACCTAACTCCGAACAGTCCCCATATTAAACCTTCCCCGAGCAAAATTGAAGATATAATGTCGTAATTTTTCTGTCTGGAAAAGTGTAAAATTCTACTCATTTCCTTCTTTGTCACTGCAGCTTTAACATCCTCCCATAGAGAAACCAATACTCTGAATCGGAAGGAGTCTGTTCTAGAAAGTACGTCGATAGTCAATTAAAATTTTCCAAATAAAAAGTTTTAAGAATTGTTTTTGAAAATTCAAAATTTCCTTGGCCATATTGTTGTATCCATATATCCACATAATGGATATAACCTCCCATAGAGCAATCCATAGTACAGGGATACCAACTCCATACCGGACCATCAGGTCGTAGATAAACACACCTTAAAGGAACTGTAAGCGTAATTTCATGTAAAGATGACAATGTCCGATTCACAACGGTACCCTCAAAAACTTTGTCTGATTTCTACTGCAGAAAAACACATTAGAATTGCCGGAAATGGCTTTAAAGCGAGAAAAACGACAATATCTTCCACATTTTTGGTCAGATAAAGGTTTCAAGGGTATGGTTGTGAATCGGGCATTGCCATCTTCCGCTGTGGTTAGTTCATGAAAGAAATTGATGCTAGGAAAATGATAACGTAGAATTTTAAAAGATTTTTAGCGGTGCCGTTGTATTTTTCAGTGGTCAGTCCACAAGGGTACCTTTTAAAGATTTGTATGGCCAAAATTAATTAGCTATCAATGTTTTAAACTTTGAAAATTGATTGTTTTTTAAACGACTATTAAACTAACTTGATTAATTTTAAAGGTACCATTGAGAATTTGGTACTTCCCTGAATGGAGGTTGACTTGAATTTACAGCGAATAAAGATTGGAAAATAAATAAATATAGTTTTATAAGAACTGAGAGAGGAGATTGATGGCAGAAAAGAAAGAGAATATGGATTTAGAAGACAAGGATATTCGATTAGTACTGATTGTAAACATGACCCCACGGTCAGGGGGTTCCAGGGGAAAATAAGAATAACAAATAATAACAACTGGCATTATGGGGGTGGGGGAGGTAAGGGTGTTTTTTGGAAAGAGCAGAGTTTACAGTCATTATAAGAGCTTGTAGAGTAGTTTGCAAGATAAACCAGAGTCCAAATTTAATGAATTTGATCGGCCTCAAATCCACAAAAAATCGCCAGCTTAAATTCTGAAAAATTTAATACAATTTTAAGCAGAACCAACCATATTTGAGCCATGGCGGGGCTCCAATTCTTTAAATACGGACTCAGAATAAAAAAGGAAAGAAGAAAAATAAATAAAACATAATCTTACCATCTGCAGATACACAGGGCAGTCCTAATAGAAAACAGGAGGCACAGGCTAAACTAGCAACCTTAGCCTTAAACAAACATTTAAAAAGATATATTTAATTATTTAGGAAAATGATTTAAAATTGTTGTTTTTCCTATTAAATGACTTGCGTATTTTGTTCGCAAAAACAATAGAGCCTGGAGGAAATTGTCTTAATTAAACTCCTATCAAGCTACAGGGTGTCCCACGAAACATGACAATAGAAAGACGACTTGAAAGTCGTCTTTGGTATTTGAATTTATTTGTGACATTTAGTCTTCTATCTGCTTTAACATGTATGATTCTTGAAACAATTATCACATAATTCTCCTAGCCATGAGATGGAATTTAAAGAATTTGAGCCGCGGTTTAAATCTGCCAAAATCCACCAAAACCCGGTTTAAATTTAGCGCCGGCTTAAATCTTGAAACATTTGATACAATTTTAAGTGGAACCAACCATATTTAAGCCGCGGCTTAAATTTAAACCGCCGCTTAAATTCTATAAATTCGGCCACTGGCATTTCCAAAAAGTGGTCTGCGGTTTTTGTGCTTTCAATATTACCGGAGATATAAAGAGTTTGGTTCAGATTTCAATTTTGTTAAATAAAAGCAAAATTGTCGAAATCTGAACGAAATTCTTCATATCTCGGGCAATATTGAAAGCACAAAAAAGGCAGACCACATTTTGGAAATGGCAGGACAAAGGACATTTTGTGATTATTATCTATAGAAATTTACTTCTAAAATTAAGTTGACAAATAAACGCAGCAAATTATATCAAAAATCAAGACGACATTCAAGTCGTCCTGCAAACTGTCATGTTTCGTGGGACACCCTGTAAGAGAAAACTACAACCATCTTCCATATTATTTATCAGCTAAATAACGAAAAGTTCGTTAAAATCAATTTACTGAACTAAATCTTCTTTGCCAAAAGTTATGCGTTGAACTTAGGATTATTTGATTTTTTGTTTAGTGCATAAAGAATAAAGAGGCCCACTCCATCTTAGTTTTTGTCTCTTCATTATTAACTTTATTTGTTAAGATCCCTTGATGTTCAAAAATGTCTCCTGGAAATCCATAAAAAAACTTTTAAGGAGTTCCTAAAAGAACCTCTTGATGAAAACCTATAACCAAGGTAAAATTATAATTTGATGCAAAAAACTTAAAATTTGTTACAGATGTAGTTCCAAACAGCAATCTATATATAAATTTAGCTTGTCTGGGTGGGTTTTTGTCTGTTAGTTTGTGTCAAAATAAACGTCAAAATGGCTGAACCAATCGGGCCCAAACATTATGTGGGACCTCACGTGACCCCAGGGAAGGTTTATGAATAATCAAAATTTTAAAAATTTGTGCTTAAAAGTTTTTTATTTTTGTAAAATTTTAAAAACGTTTTTTTTGCTTACAGATGCTTACAGATAAAACCACAATTAAAAGTTGAAATATAGAAGATGGGTGCGAAGCGCCCTAAAAGCCTAGTAGAATAAATAAAGCAGATGTTATATCCCTTTTGTTGCATAGGTATCCTGGGATCTAATAAATCTGGTTAATTGGTTGAACATTGAAAAAACCTGTTAACAATGGGTGGCAATTCTTCTTCACGCATATGTGAATAAAAAGGAAGATTTGAAAAGAAGTTCTTGTTACAGAATTCAATGCACAAAATATCTACATATATTAATGTATGAGGTTTAGTTAAAACCAAAACTCAAAAGAAAATTTAATATTAATATCCATAATACATTCATTGTGCTATTAAGAGGGATAACAAGTCAGGCTTTCAAATAATTAAAATATTCTGAGGAATGCATTCAAAACAGAACGACATTAATACATAAATTGAACCTGAAATTTAAAAAATTCCAAATAAAAACTTCAGTCTGAAAAATGTCCAAATCATACAAAAACTTGATATTACTTTTGAAGAACTTCTGTCTTACCTTATGTAAACTGAGAATCGGTATTCCATCATAAACAGCTGATACAGCTGACTGAACAAGATGGACGCCAGAATTCAAACCAAGGAGGAAAATTAGGGAAAAGAAAACAGCTGACCACACCCAGGCCAGAGGCAGTGAGGACAATATCTAAATATGATCTTAAAATTGGTTCAATATTTGACAAATTGATTTTTATGATTTATGAGATTCAACTCGACGCATCTTTTGAAATTTTAGAGAAATATAACAGAAATGTAAAATTTCCGTTTTGTACCCTCTTTTAAAACTCAAGAACACTCCCCTTATCTTAATTTTTTATGAACATTGTTCGTGATCCAACATAATACCTGTGGATAAATGATGAAAGCCAGAGCAGGATCAAACTTGTAATCTGCTGCTTCCCTCAGCACGTGTTTTGTATCTATACCTGAACACGTGTTTTAAGCTTTTTAATCAACAAACGAGTACTTTGCTGGTAAATATCACAATATCAGATTTCAAATTAAAAATATTTGGTCAAAATGGTCAAATTATTTATTTATTATAAGGGCAACAACGAAGGGTTCAATGCCATAGAAACTTTTTAATCCAAATTTAAATTTCATCCAAAATTTGTAAAAAAAATCCTGAATTAAAGTCGAAAATGGGTAGGAATAAAATGAACATCAGAAATATAAAAGAATCTATTCCTAAAAGTAGTAAATCATGTCGGAGAGAAAATACGTTTTAAAACTAACAATCTCTAAATATTATTATAAAAGAAAAAGAGAATATGTAATGGACAGAAAAAATTTAAATTATTTTTAAATGATAAATAACGTTGGTCCATCTTTTTGTAACTTTTCCCGCGTCAGATTGAATTACGTTGTACAATGTACGGATCTGTACAGTGTACGGATCTGTACAGTGTACGGATCTGTACAGTGTACGGATCTGTACAGTGTACTAAATTACCGTTAAACATTCTTAGAATTTCTTTCATTGTCTCTGAAGTAAGAAATAAGTTTCTTGAATAAAGATTTAAAAACTAACAATTTTGACAAAGGTTTAAATGGTTCGTTAGGGAATCGGACATACCCTTCTATATGAAGGGTCACTTGAAATTATGTCTGCTGTCCTATTGAGACATAATTTCATAATAATAATTTCATAATAAGTATTTATTTTGTCTAACCTTGTGAGTATATAAGTGGAAAAGTGCAGAGTAGGAAGGATACTTGAATCAATGTGAACTTTATTCTTAAACCTGAAAAAGAAATTTCAATTGTTTTGTTATTTATTATTTATTATTTTATATTTATATATTATATTTCTTTTCTTGTGACATTTTTTTAGTGCATTAAACGACTTTTTTGTAAATAAAAAAGTCGCCAAATCGTGTGATCTATTTTGTGGCTTTTTGAAGTTTTTTTTTAACTGTTCCTCAATTTAATCAAACATTTAAAAAGTTCTATAATTCAAACATATAATTAATCCATATATTAAAGAATTTAAGCAATCCTTTATTCAAACATTTAAACAATTCCTTTATTTAAATATTTAAACAATTCCTTTGTTCAAACATTTAAATAATTCCTTTATTCAAACATTTCAACAATTCCTTTATTTAAACATTTAAACAATTTCTTCATAAAAACATATAAACAACACCCTGTATTCAAACATACAATTCCTTTATTAAAACATTTTAACAATTCTTTCACTAAAATATTTAAACATTACTTTTATTCAAACATTAAAACAATTCTTTATCAAACATTTAAGAAATTTTAACAGCTTCTTCAAAAAATATCCCAACAATTCCTTACAAACTTTGTCCAAGCTTAAATTTCAGCTTTTTTATATTTCCAACTAAAACTGTATAAACTTTCTCATTTGAAACTTCATCGAATTTAATTAAATTTAATTTGAAACAAATTATTAATTATTTTTAATTAATTATAAAATAAGCTTAAACTCAATTCAGGATTTGAACCTGAACCAACATTTAATATTAATTCAAATCAATTCAATTCAAATCTAGAATAGAATTGAACACAACCAATTAGAATTCTTTAACACAAAATTAAAACAAAACAAAAAAGCGTTAGGACCTTTAAAACTACAACAAAATACAAATCAATAAGATTTCATGTCAAAACCATTTTGAAAATTTATATTTTTTTATTTTTTCAAATAACATACTTGTTGTGTGATCCAAGCATGAAGAGAACTCCATAGGTGATCCCTAGACTATAGAACTGCTCTTCTGCAGCTATCTTCCATACCTGGAGTAGATAGGTAGGTAGGTAGGTAGGTAGGTAGGTAGGTAGGTAGTTAGGTAGATAGGTAGTTAGTTAGTTAGTCAGGTACGTAGGTAGGTAGGTACAGGAAAGATGAAGAAAAAATGGTACCAGTATAAAAGTCGGACCCACAAACGTCGGACGCTACAAAGGTCGGACAGTACAGTGGTCGGACTTACAAACGTAGGACTGGTAAAAACGTCGGACTGGTACAAACGTCGGACCAGTACAGATGTTAGACCAGTACAAACGTCGGACTAAGGATGAAAAAATTATTATAATTTTAAGATTTTTTTTTTATAAAAAAGTTATTTTCTATTATCGACTGGTCTAATAAAAATCTAACCAAAGGAACTAAGTTCTACCAAACATTACTGAGTTCTTGTCACTAACTCAAATATTCTCATCCCTATACGTTTGCAACCTGGTAATGGTATTGACATTTGATACTTTCAAATTTTAATTGTTTGATCTTATAGATTTCATAGGTTTAACTATTAAAGGTTATACAACATCGAGTTTCAAAAAGATATAGGCATATTAAAACATCAGAGTTTGTGACAATTGAACTCAACTCCATTTTGGCCTTTTGTTTTATACAGTGCTACCTTCAAAGCATGAGACTTTATTCAGTTGTCTTTGATTTTCAACACAGTAAGTGAGTGCTTTTTAATTTATTTCTTTTAGCAATTAGTATTTTTTTTTCAAACTCAAGCAAAGTCCTATGTTTTTCCTTATAATTGTACCCGTTCGACGTTTGTACTGGTGTTTGTACTGGTCCTACGTTTGTCTCAGTCCGACGTTTGTACCAGACCAACGTTTGTAAGTCCGACGTTTGTACTGTCCGACCTTTCTACCGTCCGACGTTTGTGGGTCCGAAGTTTTATAAATACTTACCATAGGATTCTTAAGCTGCTCCCAGTCTGGTTTAAAGAAGAGCTGTATCCCCTGGAATCCTCCAGGTAGAGTCAAAGATCTGGCCAGTAGAGATATTAACGCAGCATACGGTAGCAGTCCGGTCACATAAACAGCCTTAAAGAGAGTGTTCATGAATTTTAGATAGGTTAAGGCCAACACCGTTGTGAATTTTGTTGTTTATAAGTAACATAAGGTCATATAAAGGGATCAGTATGATGAGGGTATGGTAATAAAGGAATCAGTATCATGAGATGTGAATAGATGGATCTGTATAATTGTATCATGAGGCAAGGGGCCTAAAGTGATCAGAGCTGAAAACTTTAGAATGGTGGATATCGGGATTAAGGCTTAATCCACTCTTTTTCTTAATCTCCAGATTAAATATTGCTTGTTCTCCTCTCATTTTTAATCTCCAGATTAATTATCCGATCAGGATTAAGGATATCCCATTCTAAAGTTTTCAGCTCTGTATCATGATAAGTGGAAGATGGATCTGTATGATTGTATCATGACTCCTGAGGGAAGGGGCCTAGAGTGATAAAGTGATCTGAGTTGAAAACTTTAAAAAGTGACATACTTAATCCCGATCGGTTTTTTAATCTGGAAATTAATAACAAAAAGAGATTAAGCATTATTTAATGTTGAGAATAAGAAAAAGAGTGGATCAAACATTGATTCCGATATCCAACATTCAATAGTTTCCAGCTTAGGATTATTAGGGCAGGAGATTAAAGAGATGAGTACCTTGAGGACTTGTAGGTAATAAAAGAATAATTTAATAAGGGTATGTGGATTAATATACCAATATGATGAGGGATAAAGGGATCCATTTCCTTAGGGAAGGGAAATAATTGTATCATCAATATGAGGGTATCAAGAGGTTTAGTTAGGAAAACTCCCATTAACGAAACGGCAGTATTTAAGAAACAACGAAAACTTTCCTTCCTTGAACGAATGGACCAAATAAACAATTCCTGAAAGAAAATTGAATGGAAAATCAAAAAATAAGATAGAATGCTTTTTAAAAATAACGGCATATTTCGATATTTTTTGGGCTTTAACTTGGAAAGGCGTAAACAAATAATTATTTAACAATATTTGCATACTTTCTTTAACGAACTTATCATTTCCGATGAAGGGAGTTAACGAACGTTTGTTTAATCCACAGTTAACGCAGTTTTAATAATCTAGATAAATAACAAACGTCAACTTCATTAACGGACAGAAAGAAAAAATCAAACTGCAAGTTCAGTTTTACGAACGAACGGCTACTTGCGTTGAACCTGTTCACCTGTCCAGCGCCGGCGATTTAAAAATTCAAGAAAATACTACTCAGGTCGAAGCTGTCGTCGGGCCTTATTTACGACTTGAGCTTTTGGATTCTAACTGCATCTTATTTTCCACAGAGTTGAGTTTAAAACCCGAGCTGAAAACTTTAGAATGGTGGATATCGAGATTAATGCTTGATCTCCTCTTTTTCTTAATCTCCAGAGCTGAAAACTTTAGAATGGTGGATATCAGGATTAATGCTTAATCCACTTTTTTTCTTAATCTCCAGATTAAATATTGCTTGTTCTTCTCATGAATTTAATCTCCAGATTAATTAACAGATCGGGATTAAGGATATCACATTCTAAAGTTTTCAGCTCTGAGGTGGAAACTTTAGAATGGTGGATATCAGGATTAAGGCATAATCCACTCTTTTTCTTAATCTCCAGATTAAATAATGCTTGTTCTCCTCTTGTTATTAATCTCCAGATTAATTAACCGAAGGGGATTAGGAATATCCAATTCTAAAGTTCCCAGCTCCGGTTTAATATTCTATTTGGCGGATTTTCATGGCAGGAATTGGCGCATTCCGGGATTTTATGAGAACAAGACTAAACATTGAGCCTTATTCTTCACTAAAATCAACCAAGGTCGGTTTTATTTTCATTGGGCCTAACTCCTCAGTCGAGCAAAAAATCTTGCAGCTGTCAATCACGTGACACAAGCTATCGTCAGAGTTGAGTCTAAGATTGGGTTTTAAATCTGAGTTTAGGAAATTACGACCCGAGTGCACCGAAGCTGACTGTAAGCAAAACGATTAAAAAAGGTTGAATGTGCCTGTAGTCCTATTTATAGAACATTTAGTAAATATATTTTTATTTCTAAGCATTAGTTAATAAAAGATGTTTGTTTTCACACCAAACAGAGGCTGGAAAATATTGTGATACAAATACTCCTAAAAATACAATATTTAATGCTTAAATATACAAAAACACGGTCTTTAAGATTGAAGAGGGATACCACTTACCGCTAATAAAAAATAAACAAGTCTCAAACAAGATCTAAAAACTTCAATTTTATATTCCTTAAATAATGTTTAAAGAATGATCCAATACATCATCAACATACAGTCAAATAACAAAATATTACAACTAATCAGTGAACTGTAAAAAAGTTAAATTTCATAATTTCTTTAAATGTTCTTGGAATACTCTTACTCAACTTGACTCGTTATTTTGCCAGCTAACACTGCTAGCAGTCCCTTTAATACTGATTTCCTACCTTACCACTGCTAGCAGTCCCTTTAATACTAATATCCTACCTTACCACTGCTAGCGGTCCCTTTAATACTAATATCCTACCTTACCACTGCTAGCAGTCCCTTTAATACTAATATCCTACCTTACCACTGCTAGCAGTCCCTTTAATACTGATATCCTACCTTACCACTGCTAACAGTCCCTTTAATACTAATATCCTACCTTACCACTGCTAGCAGTCCCTTTAATACTAATATCCTACCTTACCACTACTAGCGGTCCCTTTAATACTAATATCCTACCTTACCACTGCTAGCAGTCCCTTTAATACTAATATCCTACCTTACCACTGCTAGCGGTCCCTTTAATACTAATATCCTACCTTACCACTGCTAGCGGTCCCTTTAATACTAATATCCTACCTTACCACTGCTGGAAGTCCATTTAATACTAATATCCTACCTTACCACTGCTAGCAGTCCCTTTAATACTAATATCCTACCTTACCACTGCTAGCAGTCCCTTTAATACTAATATCCTACCTTACCACTGCTAGCGGTCCCTTTAATACTAATATTCTACCTTACCACTGCTAGCGGTCCCTTTAATTATACAAATGAAAATGAATATCCAGGCTAGGAGGAGAGAGAGGGGAAGATGATATCTCCAGTTACCAACATCTCCAAACTCATGAAGGCCACGACCTGAAAAAGGGATTATACATGTTATGATAAACTGAGGATTAAGGATCAGATGGTAGTCATTATCTCTGGCCAAATTTTTTTTTCTTTTTAAACGACTTAGGGATTGTAAAACAATTGTTACCAATAAAACTGAGGTCCAACGTCACAAAAATAACATCTATGATTCCTTTATCTTTATTTTATTGTATACACTTAGGACTGGGCACGTTCCAGCTTTTTAAAGCCGTTTCTTTAATGGTTAGTTTCAACCGTTTTAATAATAAAACTAGTTCAAGAAGTCCAACGTTACAAAAAACAACATCTTTTATTTCCTTGTATACACTTAGGACTGGGCACGTTCCAGCTTTTTAAAGCCGTTTCGTAAATGGTTAGTTTCAACCGTTTTAATAATAAAATCTCTGGTAGACGTTAGTTCAGAGGGTCAGAACGAAACGAAGTTTCGGCAACAGTATTTTTCGTTTTTTATTGTTACAGTTAATTAATGATCTTAATTTTATTAACGGCGTTAACGGCAAATAATTTATTAACGGCGTTAATGGAAAATTTTCGTTAGCGTTTAATAAAATCGTCAATGGAAGAGCTGTTAGCGGTATATTACAATATTATCGGCTAACAGTGTGAATTGCCTTAAAACACAGAAGAGGACATTTAACAACATCAAAAAAGGCAAAAATAATTTTTATTTACTAGTTAAAAGCAATTTTAAGCAGAAAAAAAACTAAATTCACCGTTAAAAAAAAAATTGTTTTGTTTTCGTTTTCAAAAGTAATTTTTTTCAAAAACAGCTAGTCTGTTTCGTAAACGATTGAAAAATTATCGGTTTTTGCAGTTCGTTAACGAACTCTTCCGTTTCCATTCAAAAGTCTCTGTTTCGTTAACGCAACTTTGCCCGGCCCTATATACAATATCTACTTATAAAGTATCTGTATATATAATACATATGTGATATTCTCACCTATACCAAGTACATACTCTAGCCAGTATTCCTCTACGCTAGTTTTCAGATTACTGCAGTCGGTTTCCATTGAAAATATGCATCTATAAAATATACTTTATAGGGGTAAATGGATTTAAATTTTATTCCTAATTTTACCATTGTCAGGGTTATCTACGTAACTTTAAATTCAACTTTATTTACAGAGGGGCATGTCTGATTTACAACGGTGCCTTTAAACCTTTATTCAAACCTTGAAAATATAGATTTCGTTTTACTATTTAAAACTTTTAGTTTCCAGCTGTAGTTTCTCAAAAATGTAACTTGGCATTTATGCAGAAAAGACAAAGAATCGGGTATGTACTGAGGGGGGGGGGCATGTTATGGAGGGGGGGAATGTAATAGAGGGCATGTAATGGGGGGCATGCCTGGAAATTACGTCGACAGCCCCTTCAATAATCCACCTCCGGTGATTAATACTTACTTATTGTCTGTACGAGCTAGGGTTTGGTCAGGGGTAAGACTCGAGTTCAATGCAATACAGTTTTCTGAACTACCCCACCAGGACCCTACAAAGTACAGTGATAACCAGAAAACCTTGGAATAGGTAGACGACTTTAGGAATCAAGTTATAACTTTAAAAAGTCAAATGAACACGAACCAGCGCAATTAGGCATTTTAAATAGACCATTTCCCTAAATTAGTGACGTAATAACTGTCAAGTAAAACTGTTTACTCTGTAACAACATCAAATGCTATAACGTCGTCTTCATATTTCATTGTTTTATGGCTATCACTTTACAAACTTATTTTTTTTGCAAACTCTGAAGGTTAAACCATTTTCTACCAAATTTTTTCTGAACTTTATTTTTTTATCAGATTAAAAATTAAACTGTAATTATTTTTATATAGTAATAAAAAACATTTTTAATATTTAGGATCATACGTTTAAACATTTTTTTAAAATTTGAATTCAGTGTCAAATTCTAATAAATGACAAGCAAGACATGTTTTTAAAAGAGGTGAAATAATTCTCTGGACATGGGTATTTCCTTCCACTTATTACTTTCCTAGACTGTATTTGTACTTAACAGGCAGGTTTAGTACACAAATGTTTTTTCAGGACGCTTTGCGCCCATCTTCTATTTTAACTCTCAAGAGGTTGCAATTCTCTGGACATGGGTATTTTGTTCCATTAATTACTTTCCTAAACTGTATCTGTACTTAATCGGCAGGTTTTGTACAGAAATACATTGATAGGTGTACAGTGGATTTTGAACAAAAATACACAGTTGAGAACTTTCTTTCAAAAGAAATTTCATCAAAATTATATGTTTGTTTTATATCGAAAAAAAATCTTTATTGCAACGACTTTAATATCAGTTTCAGTACATTAGTATTTATAAACATTAGATATTCTAAAGTAAAGATTTTGGCTCTCAAATCAAAAAAAATTTTAAGTACTTATTTGACACCCCTGGAATATTATTTGTAGCTATACCCCCAAATGAAAAGTTTTATTTAAAGTACGAGTACAGTTAAGGAAAATATCAACCACAAAAAGTTTACAGGTCAGAGAGCTATACCACCTTCTTTGAATTTACCAAAGTAAAGAAACCATATTTTCTTTAGAAAATTATTAATATTTAGCGTAAAATTATTTTAAACTTGTTTAGTTTAAGTGATAAAAGATACATACTTCATATAAGCGGTTAAAAGATACGGCATCATATTTTAAACTAATTTTGGATGAAACTAATATATTAAATATTAAACTTTTAAGCTGTTGAGGGAATAACATTGTAAGAGAGTTTCAATTCAATTAAGAAATAAAAATAAAGTAGTAGACTAGTATCAAAACTTGCTCTTGTCGAGGGCATTGAACACACATTCTTCATTATTTTCGAGCAATTTTAAGGGAGTGTAAGCGTAACTTTCAAGATGGCAATGCCCGATTTACAACGGTACCCTTAAAACCTAAATCTGATCAAAAATATGAAAGATCACATCGTTTTTCAAACACGGAAAAGATTGTTTTTTTTTTGTGAGTTACTCCATTTCTTCTACTAAGTCAACTGTCGCAGAGAAACAGCAAATGAAAATAAATAGTTAAAAGAAACAAAAAGATTGAAATATAATTCATTCTTAACCAGACAAATCTTTTACGGGTACTGCAGTTGTAAATCGAGCACTGCCTTCTTTGCATTTAAAGTCACTTGAAATTACGCTTACAGTCCCTTTAATCAAAGCTGAATTGATAACAATCAATTTAGAGAGCCTGCCTTAATAAATTAAGATCGGAAAATGTTACTCATCTCATTCTTATTTACTATTACATAAACTTTTTCAGAATATTAATTTAAAAAAAAACTCTAACACTTTTAAAATAATGATCCAGCAAATATTAGTAAAATATAACACTTCTAATTGTCTTTTATATTATCTTTTTCACAGAAAGGCTGTCCTTTTTCATTACGTTTTTCAAGAAGTTTTCGCCAGGTTCATCAATTAACGCACATAACCTGATCGCTCGAAATAACAAACGAAATTTGTATTAGGACTGGTCTAAAATGTTCTTAAAAATACATAATATTTATATTAATACAAAGATATTGATAAAAAAAACTGAATTTGTAGATTTTTGAATTCTGTTTATTGTGTTTCTAAAGTCATACTTTGTTCCAGTATAAATACTTGACTGTAGTTTAAAATAAAAATAAAATATTTGCTTACCACAATAAACCCAGGGAACCTCATCCCCAGCTCCTTGAATGCTCGACACAAAATATACAATACTAAACAAAACAAAAAACAAATTTGGAAAAAAAATATTTAAAAGGAAATTCCAACATTATTTCTTCATTCAAGTAGTTACAAGGTGCCCTTAGAAATATTGTCGTACCAACATTTATTGAGCTATCCTTGGTTTTCAGGATAAAAATTGATAATTTTTAATTTCCGTTTATCTGTAAAAGACTTGCGGATGTACGCAGCAGAGACGAGACAAATATTTTATTTCAGCCAAAAAAAAATAAGGAATATCGAAGAAATGTAATGTTATGCATATTTGGCAACATATTTCAATCACTTCTTGATTATCAACATATATTTAACATATAAATTTAAAAAATAATACTAAATTTAAAAAATAATATTTAAATAACTACCTGTACGCCATGAGTGTTGTTGTATGAATAACTTTAATCAGACTTAGTACAAGCATACCCACCCCTACCCCTGTACATAGAGGTGTACTTCTCCATACCTAAATATTTAACAATACACAATCATTTTCTTTAACAGTTACTGTTCAAAAAAACTTTAAATTAAATAAATTTCGAAATTATAATTAGGTTTTTAGGATAACTTAACATTTTTCAGGATCCTTGTTTATACCTGCAAACAGCTGAGACGAGAGAACTGACCCATTGCTGTTTCCATATAGTACATTGGTGTACCCACTGCAGTACACATAGACAAAAATAATTACAATATTGTACTTACACATATGTACCATCTGCAGTACACATAAACAAAATAATTACAATGTTGTACTTACACATATATACCGTCTGCAGTACACATAAACAAAATAATTACAATGTTGTACTTACACATATGTACCGACTGCAGTACACATAAACAAAAGTAATTACAATGTTGTACTTACACATATGTACCGACTGCAGTACACATAAACAAAAGTAATTACAATGTTCTACTTACACATATGTACCGACTGCAGTACACCTATGCAAATTTCGGAAATCAATAGAAAACAAATGAAATCCGAACAAACAAAAATTTTTAAAATTTTATCAAAAACATTGATAGATCTTAAATTCAAGTCGAGGCCAAGGGAATGTTTTTCTTTATTTTTGAGAAGTTTAAATGGACAAAATTTGGAGTGGACTTCAACTTACATTATATATGAACATTTTGAAAATAAATTACTTTTATACTGAAATTTGAATCGAAATCAGAGACTCTAAAAAACATATTCTCTACATCACTCAAAGTTTGAATTCAGGAAATGATTTCATATTTTCTTTCTGTAACACAATTTTAAATTCTAAAGAAAATTTATAGCTGGAAAAAAACTTATGTTTTGAATTTTATTTTATAACAAAAATATCAAAAATCCAATTAATACATTTTAAAAATGACTTGCTTTCTCACGGACGCTGTGCGCTTCTCTCTATTTTATATATTCATTTTCTGCAATTATTCATTTTCAGACAATAAAAATGAAATAGTTCAATTTTCTCTAAAAATAATCTTCCTATTACCTAGAATAAGTAGGATACTGTAGGGTATTAGGAATGCCCCTCCTCCATGCTGGTGAGCCAAGAAAGGAAATCTCCAAATAGAACCTGACAAATGTTTGGTTTGTTAAAAGGGACTGTACGCGTAATTCCAGGTAAACTTTACCTCTAAAAATGCGATAAAATTACCTAAAAATATGCTGGGCATACAGTGTAAATACAACGAAAGTGACTTAAAAATTCCGTTTAACAGAACTTTGGACACATCGAAAGAATTTATAAATAGTTCTATTGACAATTTTTCGATAGGTTTTATACTTAAATCTAAGTAATTGCAACAGTATACAAATAGCCATGAAATATACGGGATAGGTTTTAAAGAGCTGTGTACAAAAATGCAGAGTTCAAAAACTGAATAGTTGCAGCATTTCCATTATCAATATGTTAAGAAGACGACATTTTGTAAAAACTTTCGATGTCTCCTAAAGTCCTAAGTTCTGGGATAAACTATTCATTTTAAAATTCTTTGTCTTCACAAAATTCAAAATTTAAATAAAAACTCTCATTTTCTGCGACTTTTGGAAAATAAATCTTCTTATGCATAAAAAAAATTAAATCAACAATTTCAAACGTTTCTGTATTATTACAAGCTAAAAATCTCAATATTTACTACGCATCTAAACTCATTGTAAAGCATAGAAAAGAAAAATTCTTTAAAAAATTAAAATTAATGCTTATAAATATTGAGATATAACTTAAATTTAATAAATTTCATAGACAAAAAATCTAATTATCAAATGAGGTAAATGTAAAAAAAGATTAAAGAAGGATGTTTAGATTTTTTCATCCGTAATCTTAGTATTGTGCTTAATTAACTAATAGCTGGCATCCGTAATCTTAGTATTGTGCTTAATTAACTAATAGCTGGCATCGTCTGAAAGTTAACATTTAAGTTTTTCTCCGCTTTCTCTAAAATCAAACAAATTCTAAAGAACAAATTTAATAAAATCAATATATATCTCATCGACTTTTGTAGATTCTTCTGATAAACAAATGAAAATTACCTATTCCAACAGAATAGGATAAACATGAGAGAAGAAATTCAGCTTTACTCCCCCATTCCTTCCTACAAACAAAGTGAAAAATGTTCTTAGGTATTTGTTAAGCTTTAATGTGATTTAATCTTGATATTTCGTTAATGAAATATTATTAATCAATGGCATTTAAATGTACTGGGCGGTCTGGGGCCTCTTGCAGATTTCACTTCCATATGAATGAAAAAAAGTTGAGGAACAGCAAAAACAATCTTGTCGAGAAAAAAACTTATTTGTTTAATGAATTATACTCCAAACCTAAATCTGAAAACATTTCAAAAATAGATTAAATAAACAAACCTTTCATACTCTTTGCTGGGAGAATCTGGAATCTAAAAATAAAAATAATTTTTTAATATTTAACGAATTTCACCTTTTCACTTATTTATCAATTAATCAAAAATTCAGAAATTTAAATATATATATTTTGCTTTTGCTTATCAGTCTTGGTGTCTGTGTGTTTTTTTCCAATAAACGTTAAAACGGCTGAACCGATCGGGCCCAAATTTTGCGTGGGACCTCACATGACCCCATGGAAGGTTTATGGATGATCAAAATTCCAAGAAAATTCCATTAAATTTTTAAAAATCCACGAAATGTTTTTTTATAAAATCCGCGAACTTTTTTGTTGTAATTGTTTTATAATGTATTCAAAGAGAAAATGCTGACAATTGAAACAGAAAAGCCTAGTTAATTAGATATAAATCATATAATAAATGTATTAACCAACCTCATGAATAGTTGATGTTCTTCTGTGTCCTCTCACTCGTACGTTTGCTGAACAAAATACTTCAGATTTAAAATGAAATAAAAAAATTATTTTTTTTATTTTTTCATTTTAATGCTATATTAATTTTACTTGCAAAAAAACTTGCAATGTGAACTCAAAATATTTGCAACCCATTGTCATAAACCTTAGATATTTTAAAACAAATTAGCTATTTGTATAAACGCACAGACCTAGTGCATACTGCATGTGTCACAGTAAAGAGACATTTTGAAAAAGGCCATAATCATGAACTTTTGTATATTATAGTGTTAAACTTAAAAAATTGATTTCGGTATCCAATGTTTGCACTTTAAATCTGAGGAACAAGTGTTTTATCATTCAGTTAAATTCGTCCTTCACAATTAGATATTATTATTATTATTATTAAAGGACAACCCATCATTCAATGATATAGGGGTCGGCGCTCCTAGCCGCCTAAACGTATCCATGGGCTGACCGAACTGGTCACCCTAGGGAGAAGACTTACGATCCGCCCAAGACAGCTCCATTTCTGTAGACTCTCTAAAAACCAGGCGGTCCGCCCAAGACAGCTCCAATTCTGGAGACTCTCTAAAAATTAGGCGGTCTGCCCAAGACAGCTCCATATCTGGAGACTCCAAAAAACTAGGCGGTCTGCCCAAGACAGCTCCATTTCTGGAGACTCTCCAAAAAACTAGGCGGTCTGCACAAGACAGCTCCATTTCTGGAGACTCTCTAAAAACCAAGCGATCCGCTCAGTACGGCACCGTCACCAGCTTTCATTATAAACATATTACCATATTCGTGGACCTTGACTAAATAAAAAAGGAATTGAATTAATTCATAGATTTCTATTGAGATCAAAGCTTGATCATGAAATTCACAGCACAGGTAAATATTAAAGATGGTCGTCTTCAAATAATCATATTTATTTAGATTGACTGAACCTGCAGTAGTGTACGAGGGAGGTTCATCATGAGAAGGTGCTCGGGGAATATACTGTTCAGATAAACGTTCTGATGGATCAAAGTGTTTATTCATATCTACTGCAGGTTTGTACCTCCCTTCTAACATTTCACTTTCAGAACTGAAATCTATGGCTGCACCACTGTACCCAGACTGAAAAATGTATTAAATTATTTGTATTGTCGCAACATAATTTAACTTACGACAAGAAAAAATACAAAAACGAACTGTTTTCTGCTTTCAAAAATAATCAAATAACGACATTTTTATTTTGGGCAGAATTTGTCACCTTTGACGGACAGTCACTATACCAATCACCATCCCTGTCTCAACACATTCAGCGGTTTTGACGTTTATTGGATATAGACACTCAAGACAGGCAGACAAAATTATAAATAGATATCATATTGGAAAATTAGATGATCCTTTAAAGCTGTCCTTAACGAAAACTAAGTCCGAAAAAGTTGTATGCTGCATAAAGATTTTTGGTTAAAAATGTCACCTTTAATAAAAAATTGTTAGCAAATTTTCCTCACAATTATGAGGCATGTTATTGAAGTAAAAAAGTTTTAGAATTTTCCAAAAATCGTTCTCTAGGACAGACCCAACATTATATCTCATATCGAAAATTTACTTAGACCAACTCACTTTTAAAATGTTAACTGTAAACATTAAATTAAATGGAAACGAAAATTGTTCATCTGTACGCAAAGTACTTTATTTGTCCATTCAAAGGAAGGTACACCAGGAACCCCTGTCTCCCCATATAATACTTTTTTACCTTATTACGAATTAGTTACTGACAGGAACATTAACAAACAACCTGAGCAGTGTTTAAATGACCTCGAGATTCAAGAAACAGCAGTACATTAAATAATGTAAACAAAGATTTAGGGTTGCTGGTATATCTTTCTTGGTTTAATGCAGGAAAGAAGTGTATCTAACGAACCCAAAGTGTACAGTGTATACGCTGTACACTGTACACCGTGAGGAAGGATAGGAGGATAGGGTTACCAACAAAGAATAATACTTTAAAGACGACCTACAAATTTGAAAACAGTGATTTAAAGACTAAATTTAGTTTCTATTCCTTGAACAACAATGCACACAGTTTTCATAATTAATTTGGCAAAGTAACAAAGTTTTAAGAATTGTTCAGGGAACCAAAAATGTAAGATAAAAAGACTACATATGTTATAGTTTTTGAAGTCGATCCTTTGTCAGTGACATACTGTAAAAAGATTTCAAGTATTTGTCAAAAGAAAATATATTTCTTGTTATTTGTTTATATTTAATTATTAATCAATATATAATTATAGTGTTTACCAAACTTATACTATCTCGTGTTCTGTCCGCCATTTACCAGACAGAAGATCTGAAATATATACACTGACAGTGAGAATCAGAAAACTATGGAATAGGAAGACGACTTTATGTTAAAGTTATGATCTCACTTTATGTTTGATTCATATGTATAAGTATATGCTTTATTTAACATTAAATAAATTTGTATTAATATTAGGTCATCCTCCTCTTCTATAGTTTTCTGGTTCTTACTGCATGTAAGGTAATCAAAGGGAAATATAACTTGGGAGAAAATACTTCCTGAAGGGACTGAAGTCATGATTCTAAGTGTCCCTTCATTTTGTCGAGAGGGATATATATAATTCACCTTTAACTGATCATGAATGAATAAGGTATCCAAGTTTTCTAAGTGAAAATTGTTTTTTTAAACAGTGGGATTTTCTGTTGAAGCGACTTGCGATTCTATTCTGCAGACACGAGTCAGGAAATTGTCGAATTCAACGCTTTTAAAGATAGAAAAACAAATTATGTTTTAACACGTTACTTTTAAATGTAGGCTCACTTAAAATTACAATGACAAAAAATCAATTATATATATATATATATATATCTCAGCTATAGCTGGCCAACTGCTGTAATTTCAAAATTCGTTTTTTTCGATATTCGAATTTTTTCCAATTATTTTAAAATTCCACGGACAACATCGGGACCTTCAGCTAGTTTATTGTTATAAAACTCTTTGCTCATAATATATAAAAATTATAATATAAATGTTTATAGCTGGGCAAATAATTGGACCAAATTGGCTGAAATTGTTTGGTAACTTGCGATGTCTCCTTGGGTAACAATGGCCTTAAAAAAAATTAATTTCTTTTCAAAATTCAACAGGCAACAAGGTTTGGGTCAAAAATCAATTTTAACATAACTACATAATACTGTTTATCAATGACTATACTTTATTTATTTTATAATATACCATTATCTGAATATTAATCATTTAATTAATTTCAACATTTAATTATATTATGTGAACATTTCGACCACAAAAATACATACTTATTATATTCAAACATAATTTCTAGGATTCTTAAATAGACAAATGTTCTCCTTTTTATATCTGAAGAACACTTGTTATCTGTGCACTGTCAGCAAGGGGGTAAAGCAAAGGTTTTTCTAGCTAAAGGGAAAGTTCACTGTGATTAAAGGGTTGCAAGCTCTCAAGAAAAATCGATGAGAATTTTGCAAATTATTTTTTAAAAACTAAAGCTGACAATAAGTGCGTTATTGTGCATGTACACGTAAAGGGCTACAGAAAAGCATACGTGAGTTTGAGCGGTAAACTCAAAGCCCAAGGCGTTGCGACACTTCAAAATTGACTCTGTTAAGTGTAGGCTGATTGTTAAAGATATAGAAATTGTGAGAACACCATCATAACCAAGTCCATAGAGATCCAGACAGTTATGAAAATCATTTCAATTTTCTGGACCAAGTCAACTTTTGAAGCCCATGAGCCTTTAGTATTAGAGTACCCAGCTATCCAAATCGCGTAAGCAGCGTAAGCGCATAATATTTTGGCTCTATGACGCAAGTACAGCGCAAATTTGCGTAACTCTAGATTTCAAATTAGTGTAAATATCTAATTTGCGTAATTGCCTTAAACTCTAATTTAAATTATTTGTAAAATATAAAATATGTCAGAAAAGACATTATTGCATTTTCCACGCAAACAAATTTTTAACATAGTTTTTTAAAAAGAATTTAAGTTTTCTTAGTTTTCGATAGTTGATGAATTACAAAGAAAATTACTAAAATAGCACTAGAACATACAGCCTCAAGCTTTAATAATTGCGCAATTTAAACATCTTCTTGAACAAATGACTATAGCAAACTAGACATAAGTTCAGCTGCCTAAATTTTGTATCGGAAAGTGTGCGAATTTACAGCTCTCATGACGTAAAATGAGCCAAAATTTAGACGCAATATTTACACGTTTTTTTTAAACTCTACTTTATAGTGACGCAAACTTTCAAGTCACTTTCGCAGTGAAACCGGCAATTAAATTTAACAATTTTAAGGAGAAAAGATATTGATATTTAATTCAACACTTGGTCAGACAAGGCTTTCAAGAGGGTACTGTTTGCATGGAGGGTCAATTAACATTACTAAGGAGTAACATGGCATAGCTGACAGATTCTATCGTGGGAGCATGCACAGATTTGTATTTTATTTATTTATTTATTTATTTATTTGGATTTATGTGAGCCAAAATAATTTCCTAAATGGACAAGCTGGAAAGAAGCTGTTTATGATGATAAATCAAGGATTTCCTGAAAGGAATTGTTCATGATGATAAATCAAGAATTTACTGAATGAACTGCTCATGATGATAAATCCAGGATTTTGTGTAGAAGCTGTTTACGATGATAAATCAAGGATTTTCTGAAAGGACTGATTATGATAATAAATCAAGGATTTCCGGAAAGGAATTGTTCATGATGATAAATCAAGGATTTCCTGAAAGGAATTGTTCATGATGATAAATCAAGGATTTCCTGAAAGGAATTGTTCATGATGATAAATCAAGGATTTCCTGAAAGGAATTGTTCATGATGATAAATCAAGGATTTCCTGAAAGGAATTGTTCATGATGATAAATCAAGGATTTCCTGAAAGGAATTGTTCATGATAATAAATTAAAGATTTCGTGAAGGAACTGCAGCTTACGATGATAAATCAAGGATTTCGTGAAAGGACTATTCATGATTCTAAATAAGAATTTCCTAAAGGGATATTCACGACATTTATATAGTGAGTTTTCCGAAGGGAATGGACAAAAAATGAAAATATAATCTTACTCGGGGAATAAGTTTTCACTGATTTTTTAATCATAATAATTGCTTGGATAAGTTTTATCACTTTAAATTTACTTCCTTGAACGTGATTCACGCAATCCCTACAACACGGTGACTCACAAAGAATGAGAAGTTAATAACGACAAGAAACTCTTCATATTAATTTTGCCTTTTATATACAGAGCTTCCCATATCATATTAGATTATCTCCAAGCTTAAGCGCCAATACAAGCACATAATACTCGGAAAACCAAGCATGTTTTCAAAAATATTTTTATATTTATAGCCTTACTCAAATTTTAATAGGAATTTAATCTTCTTCAATTTTCTGGTTATTCCCGCAAATCGTAATTTAGACCCATTAACAATCTAACATGATGTGGATCACCTTGTAGTTTTAAAATGGTTTGGTCATTAACAAGTTTACAGCTGCAGAGAACCATGAATGTTAGAAAGATGACTTAATAAGTTCTGTACAGTCGTCTCTGAAATCTTTTCCTTTGTATTTAGTGTTCATTTCAATATACAGGGTGTCCCATATCATGTATCTACAGGGTGTCCCATATCATGTATCTACAGGGTGTCCCGTATCATGTTAGATCGTCAATGGGTCTAAATTACAATTTCCGAGACTTTAATTTGAAAATTGAAGAAGAATAAATCATTTTGAAAAATTAAATAAAGCTAAAATAAAACTTTGGCATTTTTTCGAATATTATATGCTTATTTTGGAGTTAAAGCTTTGAGATAATCTATTGATAATGGTTGCTCTGTATATGTACAACATAGATTCACAAAACCTCTACTCCAAGTATTCAAAAAATAAATCAGTTTTCACTTTAATAATAAAATCTGTACTGAGAGCACTGCACGCTACTATTTATTATAGTAACATGCGCGTATATGAAACGCGCGTAATTTTCTGTATTTTCTTTGCGCATCAATGCACAGGACGTACCTGAAATCAATGAGCGTGCATCCCCCTCCCTTATATCGCGCTCCACACAATTCATTTAAAAATCCAGCTAATAGTAGATTTTGTTTAAAGTATACAGTACAGGGGAAAACAAGGGGGGTTATAAAGGGGGTAAAATATTACCTCCCATGGGGTGGGAATGTCATGGTTTTATATAAACAGTTTTATCTCCATATGTAAATTTATTGAACATTCACACAGAGAATAAAGGATGGGCCAGCATCGAACCGAATTTTCTTTAATTCCTATACTTTCCTGCTTGCTTCTATCATTCATTTCATCAAATCATTCAATGTACCTTTTCAAAACTTAACAAAGTAGAATTTAATCCAACTTAAACCTTCAAATTGTCATTAAAACAGTTTATTAGAGTATCATGTCTTGCAGGGGAACCCTGTATCTTTACTAAGTGCACAGGGAAAATACTGGGAAACATAAATATGAAAATATTTTGATCAAATTGTTAAAGCAATTTATATTTCTGCTTTCTTTTAATAAATTCTGATAAAAATAGAATATTTTAGAAATTCGAATAAAACATATTCTAATAAACATTACATTTAAACATATGTGTAAAGTTGAGCATCATGACAAATCATTTATTGGTCCAATGGTCCAATAGCTCTGTTGGTGAGTGAGAGAGAAGAGAGGGAGATGAGAGAGATCCTCTGGCGGCGAAGAGAGAGACGGTGAGATAGGAATACATATAGAGAGAGAAAAAACAACGGAGTAGAAACAAGAAGAACTAGTTGGTCTTCAGATCCAAAACACTGAACAGGGTCATGTACGGGGGGGGGGGGGGGGC